CTCGCCTCTCGGCTATACGCGCTATCGTCTCTATCGCGCGCGCGTGTGTACTCTGTCCGCGCATACTCGCGCACCTGCAGGGCTCTATATGCGCGCGCGAGCGCAAGTAGGTATACGGTAGGACACGCGTGTGCGTGCACGTACGTGTGTTAGGGCGCCGAGTACACAGGGACCGGCGCACGCGCGCGTTTCACGTTTCTCCTCGCTTTCGCACGTGCATATACGTACATCGGAGTAAAGTGAGAGAGAGAGAGAGAGAGAGAGAGAGAGAGAGAGAGAGAGAGCGCGCGCGAGCGAGAGCGAGAGAGAAAGAAAGAGAGACCATCTCTCCTCGTTGCTCTCGCGACGACGGCGGCGGCGCGCAATCGTTCACTGACCCGCTCTCACCGACACGGCTCTCGTCGCGTGCGCGCGCGCGCGCACACATACACGCTTACAGGCACGCGCGCCCGCCCGCGTGTCGATTCGATTTTCCGATGCAATTTTTCCCGTCGGGAGAAACGAGAGCAGACCTGTCCGTCTCTTCGTTCCGTCGTAGCCGCTCCGAAAGTCCGCGCGCTCTCTCCGCTCGTTTCGCTTCGCGCGGCGGCGAGTCTCTTCCTCTTGTTCTCGAATGCACGGGAACGAGACGAGCGAAATGTATACCGAACGAAAACAACCGGCGCGGCGGCGCTCTCTCGGCGCCCTGCCGGGGCTGATTAAAGGAAAAAAAAAGAAATAAAGAGAGAGAAAATGCTTACGTTCTTCCTTCGTTTTTCTCCTCCTCCTCCTCCTCCTCCTCGTCCACGATTCTCCGCTTTCGGTTCACGCAACGCGCGAGTGTCCGCAAGCGGTGGAGTCTCGATGCAGCAGCATGAAGCACACGTCTTGTGAAACACGTCCGTTTAGATACGGGGGAGACGTTTCGGGGCGACGGCGACGGCGGCGGCGACGGTGACGGCGACGGCGCGCTCTCGACGGCCGGGATAACGACAATCGCGCGCGTTATTATCGCCGCGCGAGGCAGAGGTGCCGACGGCGCCGTAATAACCCGCACCTGTCGCAAGAGTCGCGTGAAGTTGCCGCCGCGAGTTGCCCGCGACCAGTCCGCTACCAGCTTCCTGCACTCCGCGCACCACCACCTCGAGCATAAACATCACCGCGCGCCGCGCGCCGGTTAATGGCATATTATACAGACTCCTCTCGCCGCCGGAATTGTCTGCCGCTCGCACGAAACGTCATATGGATTCGACGAAACTTGGAAACGTCTTCTATCCCTCCGCGCGCATTCCGCGCGAAACCGCCGCGTTCGAATCCGTCCAAACTATTCGCCTCGCGTACTATTTACTCCGCTCCGCCACCCTTAACCGCGGTCGCCGGCGTTTTTACTACTTTCCCGACTTCGTGCGACGTGCGACTCGATATATGGCTCGACTTCCCTTTTCTCGTCGCTCACTTCACGTCGCTCTCGTTGTGTACTCCCGCGCGCGGGTACCACTTTTTTTTCTATTTCTTTTCTCGCGATATATAAATTATCCGTGTTCGATCGCGCTCCGATTATCCTCTGTCCCTACTTGCGACACGCGCTACGATTTTTCATTTTACTCCGCGCGACGATCGTTTCGGGTACACACCTCCAATTCAACGAGGAAAAAGGATCATATATTCTCGTCCGATCTGCGGCAAACTTCTCACATCCTCTCGGTTTCTTTTTTTTTTTTTTTCGTTTTGTCAAGTCCGATAAGACAGCGCGATTCGCGTCGGCCGGTCGTATTGTTATTATTATGTATATACACTACCGTTCCCCCGCAATCCCGATCGTTCCTCACGTTCTCGTTTCGATGACGTCGGGTGACTCAACTCAACTAATGCGACCCGACTCGACTCCGACCACACGACTCCACGACACACGACGCGCGCGACGGTCGAATGTAGACTGAATCAGACGCTACGCGCCGTACTCCATGTATCGGTCTGAACGTATCCGCGGGTCTCCCTCCGCCGCCCTGCCTCCCCTGGTCTCCACGCCCCGCCACCCCCTCGTCGAGCTACCGCTCTTTCTCTCGCTCCTCTTACCACTCTCGCGACGCGGCTATCAGCTCGTGCCAGACCACAGTCCTCGAGCTCGTTATTTTTTTTTTTTTTTACCGCGATCACGCCGCGCATCTACGAAAAAATTGGAAAGAGCACGGTCGCGTAGAAAAATGACCCAAAGTCCCATCTTTGAGCGCAGCTCGACATTAATATTTTATCTAAATATGTCTAATGCGATCTTTAATCGGTCTTCCGCGAATGCGGAAGTAACATTCAAAATGCGGAAAGAGATTGCATCTATTTTTAGTTCACTTTTTTGTATTAATTAACGGAAAAAACATGAAAGTAAATTACAGACAGATGTAAGACAGAGATAAATCGTTATTTATTATGCGCCCTGGGATAATATTTTCGCAGACGCTCAGAATACCTTACAATTATAATTATAAAGCAAAAAATAGTGAGCATTAAAAGGGAATTCAGATATAGAGATACAGCCTTGGCCAAAAATATTACTCATATTTTTTTCATTTATCTGGAATTCTTTTATCTACATTGTTATCTATTGATTACCAGAATTACACATATAAGTTTAAAGGGCTTTTGGAACAAAGGATAATTTACGGCAAATAAATCTATTTTTTAACTATAAAACTTTAAATAATGTTTAATAAGATGCTTAATATTTTTGACCAAGGCTGTAAGACAGGATACAAAAATACGCAAAAATAAACGAAAAGTAGGAGAGAGAGAGACAGAGAAATCGCTGTTTATTAAACGCTTCAAGATAGAATTCTTTCAAACACTGAAACATTATACATTGTTTTCAACATGGTACCTACTAATGGATTAATTCTAGAGAAGCGGAATCGTAACTTGTTGTCATAAGACTTATAAGAACTTATAGCTGGAGTTGTAATTCTATGCGTAAGATGTAGTACGATCATTCGTAAATTTTTTCGTAAATTTTATAAAACTAACAAGAAGCTGTTTGTAATGATATTGAATAAAGTTATAAGCATTCCAGTCATAAGTTCTTCCTAGTCTTACGAAAAAACTAAGTTACGAGCCTTGTACGATTCAGCTTAAAATCGACATATATACATATTTAAAAATTAAGTCAAGGTGAAAATAATAAAAAAATATTTTGAAAAATAAAGAGAATTTCGAAAAATGAAGAAAAATAATATAGATATATGTACAAGCATAACAAGTGGCGATTACTAGCACGCAAGACTGAGACCGTAAGAAAAAGAAAGAAAGGAAATAATGTATGTGTGAGTGTGCGCGCGCGCGGGTCTGTGAGTAAATAACAAAAAATCCGTTTTCCTCAAAGAGAAAGATAATAATTCTGGGATTGCGAAGTCATTCTGCATTATTGTGGCGGCGGATTAGATAAAGAAGGCGACGCACGAACGATTCGCGTCGTAATGAAAGGCGCTGTATGATATTTAGCATACTTATAAGCGACGTCTTCGGTCAACGTCGAACCGCGTTGCGTCGTATCCGAGATATTAACTGCCCTCATAAATTATATCGTGCATTTTTAGTCGCGCGATAAAGAGCACCGTACAATCGGAACACTTCTTCTTTCGCGTTTCTGTCAATCCGTGGAAGGCGCGACTGGCGCGAGCGCCAAGAAGAGGGTAATACGTTCTACGTTCATGAATGACAAAAGCTGGCACGAGCGGCGTGTCAGGGAGAAATTCATGGATGCAATGTTTTATTGAGGAACGCGCGCGCGAAGTATGGATGGGTCAAAAGTTCATGTACTGTTGCACCGAGGAATCGCACGTCACGTTATTTTCAGCTTCTCCTTCGAACGATCTCCGTTGATAATCCGGTATAAATCGTCACTTGACGCAGACGGACAACGAAAAGTGGCTTGTCACTTGACATGCTTGTTACTCGATTACACTTATTGTTATAGATTAAAATCTAAGCATGGCTATAAATATATATTCTATGACGCTATTGTTTATATCTTTTATGTAAAAAGCCAATCGACGTTTTTGTCCTCCTTGAGGTTCACAAGTCTTATTTTTCGTCTCTTACCAAAGATAAATAATCTATACCTGGTTATCTTTCTCATGGTTCTTAAGTATAATTATTTAATGGAGTAAAATATGCACGATTAATACTCAGTTTTTTCAATATAAATTTTATATTTATTTATTTATTTATTTTTACGTAAATATTGATATATATATATATATATGTATGTATTTATTAGTAAACAATAAACATTATCTGCAAATGCAATGGACAATTCAATTGCACTTAATTGACATTTAAATTATAATTTTGTTTTGAAAATTATCATAGTCTGAAGTTTTTGCACTCCAATATTCTTAAACAACAGATCCTATATATGTATATAATAATAACTATACCTAATGTAGTTACTATTTTCTATATCAAAAGAAAAATGTTTTTTAGTTTTATATACCATTCAAACATAATTTTAAATATATAAATCAGAAAATATTTTTGGAAAAGAAATAAGAATGTTACAAATATTTTCTTTGATTTTTATACGTTAGGTGGAATCTTAAGGCGACTTCAGAGGACGGACATAGCCAATGTATACCAACTTTGCACACATTCGCTAAATATTGACCTACATTTATATGAATAATTGTGCATGTCGTGTGTATGCGTGTGTGTGATATTTGCTAATGTGGCGTACATTGGCTATGTCGTTTGAACCCGCCTTCACATTAAGATCGAGGCCACACAATATGATAATAATTTAGACATGATTAGTTATTATTCGTACATCAATAACTGTCTCATATTGTCAAATCTATCTATCTATATACATCTACACACACACGCGCGCGCGCGCGCACACACACACACACACACGTACATACATATATATTTATTTATACACATTTGTTAATAACAAAAATAAAAAAATCAATGAAAAGAAATTTATTTTACTTTTTATTTTACAATTTTTAAATATAAATTATTTAGCCATGATTTTTTTTTTTTCGATCGTGTCAAAGAGATTAAATAAATCGACATTTACAATTAATAAATACATGCAATTAACCGATATCATAAGTGGAATCTTCATAACTTGCATTTTCGCGCGTACTATCAAAACCAATTTCTTGATCTGTTTGAGAGACTAGTTCAATAATTGCACTGTAACATAATAAGACAGACATTCATCATGTATTTATAGTTATAATTTCTTTCTCTCATAAGAATAATTATCATTCTTAACATAATGTTCATTTGCAAGAAACAATGATAAATAATAAATAATGTATATATAAATTTTTATGTATACTTTAATAAGTCTCCTTCAAAGGTTGACCAAGATACTGTTGCCGGATTTGTAACTTTATATTCCAATAAACCATTTAGAGCTTGTTGAAGTTCCTGTATAATGAGAAAGTATTTCAAAATAAAAAATATTTCCTTTCTCTAAGAATACACATACATATACATATTAATCATACTAATCTGTATACCTGTATCAATTCTGCGGATTTTTGTTCGCAAATTATGTTTTCCGAAAAATTGATGCTAATTATATATTGTCCTTTTTCCCGTTCTAAAATATAATGTTATAACATGTGTACGATTACTATTTTGAATGATTAGCACGTTCAAATAAAAAAGAGTTATATTTACTTATCGACATATTTGGTCCAGCAAATAATAAAATTGGTACACTTATACATGTAGTATCATGCAAAAATATGGCGGTGGACCGTTGTTTTGTGAAATATGTTAAGTAGCAACTAGGAAAGCTGGAAACTCTATTGTTTACGCTCGATGGATGTATACGCACACTACCGTCTTCCGGTGTCCAACTAAGCACCCCATTTTTAGAAACTCGTCTAAAACAGTTAGAATCATATAGATTAAGATAATTGTATTTAAACCAAATGATCGAAAATTAATTAATATAAATTATTAATGTCATATCAATCATATGACATATCAATGTCTATACCTTACAACAGCGATGTTAGGATATAATCCTGCACAGACAATAGCTTTTATCAACGCTATGTTATTCGAATTTCTGTTAGAGCCTATATGGTTTGGGTTTTCACTATCCAGAAATTTCATCTCACATAAATACTGTGCAAATTGAGCTTTCATTTCGGAGAGAAGTTTCAATGTATTAAAAGAGAGGAAATACTCTCGACAAAACTGGCGAGCATTTCCTCTTTGACGTGCAACTTCATATCTTCTTAGAGCTTCCGCAAGAGCAATATGATCACTACACTGTTCCATACTGAGCTCTAACTTTTTTTTATTAGCCATTTCCTCTTGTCCTAATGGACAATAGAAAGCGTCTTTAAATGTGAGACTTGCAGCAATAGCAAATATTGGATCAACACAAGAGAACAATGCACCCCACAAAATCATTTTCCCTATAATAAAACAAAATATACATTACATTAAAGTTGCATCTGGAGACACGGTAGTGTCTCGGCGCTAAGCCAAGCACAGCGACACTGCCGTGGCTATTTTACACGAGCCGGCAAATTGCGGAGGACCGAAATTATCAAATCTCAATTCTGTTTACAACAATAACAATAATAAATTACCTGTTCTAGGATCAAGTGGCAAATGTGCTAAATGATAACCCAAAGGAGTCAAAGTCTCGTCTTTATCGAGGGCATTAAGTGTCTCAAGTAAATCGAGAGACAGATCAATAGCTTTCAAATCTGGCGGATCCATGACGGTAGATAGGAACTCTTTGGCTCTTCCTAATTGCAAGATTTTTATTTGCAAAATTACCTCTTCTAAGCGTGTTCTTAGCATTTCTGGCAACGGATAGTGATCAAATGTCATTTCTCGTGCTTTTGTATACATATGATAACATTCTCCACTTTTTACCCTACATAAAAAATATACAGATTTGATTTTAGTTTACATACAGAAATTTGATTAAATGCATTATTTTTCTTCTAATACCAAACTGTAACAATATATAAAGTATTACCTGCCAGCTCTACCGCGTCTTTGCTTGGCGTTAGATAAAGATACCCACTCAGGCTCTAAAGTCTGAATATTCTTATTTAGATCAAATTTTGAATATTTTATTTTCCCGCAATCTATTACGTACACAACATCTTCTATAGTAATTGATGTTTCAGCGATTGAAGTCGCAATAATTATTTTACGAACGCCATGAGGTGGTTCTTTAAATATAAGTTTCTGATCAACTGTTGGCATACGTGAATGAAGAGGATAGATGATGTACGCATCTGTAAAAAAAAGTTTTATAAGATACTTGGTTTGAAATATATATCAAATGATGTCAAAATAGTTATAAACTCAATAACACAATTAACAGAATAAGACAAAAAATGTGATTTTATCTAATTTGTAAAATAAGTTTGTTTGACAATTCAAAATCTTGCAATATATAAAAGCATGTTCTGATTCCCACCTGGATAGACCTCGGTAAATGTTCGGTAAACAACAAAGATGACATGACATCCGGGGAGTACCCAGATGGAAATCTGAACATGCTTTAAATTAGATTTAAACATAAAAGCTATATATATTTATAATCTCTTACTATAATATTATATTAATAATATAAATATATACTTACGACTTGGATAACATCCGGACTCTAACATCATTTTATTTAAGTTCGATATATCCATCATACCAGGTAAAAAAATAAGAATAGCTCCAGGACCTTTTGTATTACAGATGTATCTAACTAATTTTTCTATGAGCTCCAATGAAAGATTTTCGCTATTTGGATTCCGTAATTGATCAATAACATGTGTTTCGTATTTTTTCTGTAATTATATAAAATATTTTAACATACATATAGATAAATAACGCGCGCGTGAACAATACTTATTTATTTACCTCAGCCATAAGTTGTCTAACATAAGGTTGTAATATGTCTAAAAATTCTTCTTTCTTACATTGTTGCTCTTTATACCTTTTTAGGTGTTTTCTGTAACCTTTAAGTGGTTTTTCAGATGGTGCTTCGGGAAATTTATGACTATAAGTTAAAAAAGATATTATAACAGTTCGTATTAATAGACCTGATTAGGTAGCGTGTAAACGAGTGCATGTATTTCGGAGAGTGTGCGAGAATCAATAGCGTTTAACAATTTGTATTAATCTCTCATGCATACAGAACCTAAAATCATCTAAAAAATTATTTAATGATCATTTAAAGTTATCACGAATATAACAATATTTTAATAACGTGGGAGAACAAATCAAAATCTGTCAATTTACAATCAGCAGATTTTGGATTCAATTTTTATTCTTATATATCAGTTTGTAAGAGGCTAATGAAAAAAGATTAAAAATTTTGAGTGAAAAATTATCAGATTATTGTAGTATGAAATCGTAATCCAAGAATAATTATTATTAATATATAAGGAATAGAAGTATAGTATTGTCGTTACTTTTTATAATAACGACTTGAATAACGTTGCTGTTACACAAAAATTTTATATAACAATAACTAAATGCTAAGGTTGCACTAAAATTGGGAAGGTCACTTTGAAAAGTAACGGGTGACCATTATGCGTTATCTATTAAGAAAAGCAATTCGTTACTAGTAATGCATCGACACGTTACTTTATTCGTTACAAGTAACGAGTAAAAATAATTTATTGCACAAATAACGAGTTACCTTTTTCAATAATGAGTGACTTTTCCAATCCGTTACACAAATAATGCTTAATTTTTTTAATTCTGATGTTTTTACCGTTACTACCATAAAACATTCGCAACATCATTATCAAATCGTTGTTATAACAAAGTAATGATAAAAAATAACAGCATTACAAGTAATGCGTATTTTCATTCCTCGCTAGATATAGTTTCAATTACATATCTATACTTACTGTACAAATGACAAAACATCTTCTAAATAAAATTCCTCCACAGGATAAGTAAATCCCGGTATATGTATCATAGGACAATTGTCATAATATTTCGAAAAGCTTTCAGCATTCAATGTTGCACTCATTAAGAGAACTTTTAAGTCTATTCTCTAGAAAATAAATTCAAAAAATGTTCAAATTAATTTATAAAACATGATTTAATGATTTGTAGATATAAAAATATATATTACAAAAATGTTCCAAAAATAATAAGAAAAATATATATCTAAACTCCTTGAATGAAATAACATAGAACAGTAAAATATAATCTAAATAAAGATATATATATATGTATATATATTAAAAAATATATATATCCAGTGTATGTAATAACGTTATTGTAAAAACAATATGTAAAACAATACGTCATTAAAACTTACTTTCGGAATAACTTGTTTTAATAATGTAATAACGAAATCACTTTCCGTAGTACGTTCGTGAATTTCATCCAGTATCACATGAGAGAAACCTTTTAATGCTGGATCATGTTTCATAATTTGTAGTAATATACCAGTAGTACAAAATAATATACTTCCATGATCTCGTGATAGATGTCTGTAGACAAAAGTATAAGAAAGTGAAAGAACATTATACGTCTATAAACTATTATACATATAGTGTAGATTACATTTAAAATGTATTGTATACATTTTTTTTAAATTTACTTTTCAAGTCGTATCTGATAGCCAACAGAATTTCCAAGATTTTCTGCTCTTTCCATAGCTACACGTTCAGCAACAGAAATGGCTGAAATCCTTCTAGGCTGTGTGCAAATTATTCGAGTAACGCTGCCATTTCCAGTTTCTAATTCATCGTCCAATATAAATTGTGCAATCTGTGTGGTTTTACCACATCCTAAAATTTTTTTTAAATCATTAAAAATAGCTTATTAATTATTAATTAGAATTGGAAATTTAAACAATTTGAAAATTGCTCCAGCACATGTTTAATTTTTACGATCAAATTTCTTTTACTGACTCTCTCACTGTATTGCTCCAATAAATGCAGATAAATAAAAAAAATAATCAGAAAAACATTTCATCTTATATTAATAAATAACTTTTACCACTTACCAGTTTCTCCACTAATAACAACAACTTGATTATCTTCAATCAATTGTAATATTTCTGACCTTTTTTTATATGCTGGTAACTTTAATCGAAACTTCAACATGTTATTATAAGCATCTTGATCATGCTTTTGTCTGTAATCATTTTGTAATATTCTGTCTATATCACTGTTTCTTTGCAACTTTGAAGTTACATTCATAGCTTTGGCAAGACTTTGTTGTATATTACCGTGTATAATTTCCAAAAACTTTCTTTTAAATTGGGTGTCATGAAATTGATGATACTTGTTGCCTTGCTCGGATTCAAAATTTGTACAGAAAACTGGATTGTAATATTTTTCTGCGTTATTTAACATAGCCTTAATTGATTGCTGTATATGAAATGACAATTTAAGAACTTCTGAATCCTTTTTTTTCTGTCTCTCTCTATTTTTGTTTCTATAATACATTCCTATTTCTTTTCCCCTTAGTCCAGGAGGTCTTCGTGCTTGTGAGTAAGTTCCTCCATTTCCAGATGTAGATTGTGTTTGTTCTAAAAAATTCATGGTAAATTTGAGATTTCATTTTTTCTTTAAATTTTATGTTATTTAACAATACACTCTTAAGCCTTGTGTCCACGATGCTAGAAATCGTTCCGAGATCTCGGACAGAGACAAAATTAACATTTGAACAATTTGATTACATGACTATTGCGATTGGTCAATTCTTTCTTCATCCGAGGTCTCGGACCGATTTCTAGCATCGTGGACACAAAGCTTAACGAAAGAATAACAATTATTATAAAGGTGAAATATCAATCCGTTCAAAGTGTTCAAAAATTAACAGATTTTGAAAAAGCAAGGTTAAAAGCGAATACAAAGTATTCAAGTTTTGTTTGCGTTTTGATCAGTACATATTTAATAAAAAAATAGAAAACAAAATTTAAAAAATGATACATGTATTTTTGAATTATTTTTTAAACAACTGAACATCTCTTATTAAAAATAGATATTACAGACTAATTTAAAAGACATTTTTCTAATGCTTATTTTAATAAAGCCTCTCACAATAATTAAGTTTATGAAAAAAATATCCAAGGATTTATACCTCAAGAATATTATATAGAAAGAACATTTTTCTATATAATATTCTTCAGGCTTCCACAGGTGCTTTCTATATAAAGGTTATGCATTTTGCAGATTTTCTCTGTGTCCAATTCCATTCTTGAAATACCAGGCGAAACGCATGACCTTTATATTTTTCTATATATGTAATATATAAGTGTGTATATATATATATATATATATAAATTCTAGTTTTCTGAAAATTTCATTGAATAGATAAAAGAAATTATCGTAGATCTAAAATATTACATATACAACAAAAGATAATATATAGTTCATTAATATGAAGAACAGTTATTACAAAAATATTCCATGGAAACAATTTCATCATTAATTTGCTAAATTACATCAAAATAAAGAATCTTGTGAGAAATGAAATATTCAAAGTATAATGGAATATAACTTAGATTGCTACATTATTATAATAGAATGTAATTTAGATTGCTACATTATATGTGTGTAAAGAATTGAATTATAATTATTTATAAATAATCAGTCTTTTTTAATACAGATTGTTAATCACAAATAATTTATAACAGAAAGTTCTCAAATAAAAACACATGTAAGTGTTTATGAACCTAGTCCTTGCTGATTGTTTCTCCAGATCGATTGTACTAAAAAATGAAAGAAAAAAAGATGACAAAAAAGCATTCATACGAAAAGAAATAGGACAAATGATTTTAGAAATAAATTTAGATTATTCAGGAATCTTGATCTTACCGTCTCTATCACGTTGTGGGTAGGAGCTGGACATGCCCCTAAAACCTCGTCGATACATTTTGAAAGAACAAAGCATTCATATATTAATATTTAGACATTGTTTTTAATCTTTAAGCCCCTCACAATGATCAAGCAATGCCAGTTTCTACCACAGACTTCTATATACACTAGCCTGTCAACTCCTCACTTTTTTCAGACTTTTCTCTCATATCATCAAATTGGCAAAGTAGCTAAGTTGCTCGCCAAGCAAATGAATACGATTAGTTATTACTTATAGATTCAACCAATCACATTCAATCGCTTGACGAGCAGGCTAGTCGTTTTGTCCGGCTTGAACGCACCCAAGGCTACGTTCAGGAATTATGCCTAGATAACTCTAGGGTGCATTTTTGCTATAATATACGTGACGTAACCTATAGCTTAGAGTTATCTGGGTGTAATTCCTGAACGCAGCCCAATGGTGTAAAAACAAATTCTCTGTTCTAAAACACAAATTCAGTGCTTTAAAACAAATTTTGTGTTTTAGAACAGAGAATTTGTTTTTAAAGTGCTAATTGGCTGCGTTCAGCAAACTCAGCAGTTTTGCAACCGTTTTGTAATTCTTCGCTGTGATAGAACTATTCCTTTAAATCTAAAAGTATGATCCAATCAGCGCGACGAATTATAAAACGGTTGCAAAACTGTAGAGTTTTGCTGCTGAACGCAGCCATTCTTTGTGTTTGTAGATAAGAGAATTTGTTATAGAACCTAATGCTGGATTCACACTGCATCCGATTTACGTCGTACGACGCTCTGCAACCAATCAGAAAACAGGATTCCGAAGCAAAATCCATCGGAATCCTGTTTTCTGATTGGTTGCAGAGCGTCGTATGACGCACATCGGATGCAGTGTGTATCCAGCATAACATGTTTACTCAACGGTCGCCATGATCGCCATTACGGTGGAAAGGAGAAAGATAAAGAAAGATGGGTAGCACCAGTTGGACACGGCTCAATTGGACACGAGCCACTCACAGCGCTTGAGACTACAAAGCTCCTAAGCACCGGTCGCTGTGATTATTGGTCTTCTTCTTCTTATTAATTTAATTGGCCCAGGCCCTCGACAACGGGGTGAACATGGCCATGCTTACTAATCACAGTTAAAGCCGGAATCGCTTTTCAAAAAATTAATGAAATGATGCAATACCCGAAGCAGGGCAGACGAGCGTCCGTCCTACTCGAGCAAGCAAACGAGACTTTGTGATTATTGGTGGTGTCCAATCGAGTCGGGATCACCCCAAGAAAGATGAGTCCCATGACACGGTCATCGCGTCACCATGGCATGGTGGAGGAAACCATGGTGAAAAAGGAAATCACCATGGACTGATGGACAATGGAGTAGATACCACAGTCGGTATTATCAGCTCGATTATCACAATCGGTATTTGCGCAGCAATTGATAAATACGTGGAATTACCGAAAGATAGAAAGCTTTAAAATTTTGCGAACGTCCGCGAGAGATCAGTTTCTCACTTGGTCGTTCCGATAATCCGATCACAGAGGAACGCGTATGGAGTATGAATTCCATGCAGTCATATGGAAGTCTAATAAAATTCATGATATTGAATGAAAATATTTGATAAGATTTTGTTTGTCTCTATTTGAGAGCTTAGAGATTTCGCATTTTATATTTTATTCATTTTTACTTCACTTTATTTAATTTTTCTTATTGTAATTAAACAAATTTATCGTTATCATTAAAAAGTGGCACGGTTAGTTAGAAATTAAACTGTGCGACGGAAAGATTAACCAACAAAGCAGTTGACATTTTTGTGTGACGCGTGCTGCATACAAAATTTGATATTGGGAGTTGTATTTATATATGCAAAGTTTGATAGGATTAATAAACATTTGTCAGAGCTGACTCCAATTTGCTCATTTTCGTTAGTGACTAATAACGAATATTTGGGAATATATCTACGTTGTGATTTCATTGAAAAGAACATAACCATGTCGGAACCAGATAAAAAATCTAACGAACCATATCGTCAATTAGAAGAATCACATGGTGCCGAGTTAAATGTTGGCGCACAAAGTACGTCGAGCTGTCCTACGAGTTTGGAGAATGCCACTGAAGGGTCAATGGAACTTTCCTCTGTTGTAGTTATACCTGATGGTATGTTACATCTAATTGAAATCTCTTGTAAATATGTAAATAGTATAGAAGTAATATATTGTAATGTTTAATTATATGCCGTGTTCTAATTGTACAGAAGGGTTTACTTAACTTTAATATGAAAGAGGACCATATGCTGTAAATATTTATCGCATGATAAAATAACACAACACTGGGAAAACTGGTTTTACTAATTACTACGTTAAGTTGTGGTAACATGGAACGCTGTAAAGTATTTTTAACAACAGTGTACATTAGACATGCATGTGTACAAAGAATTAGGTGTGTATATTTTTCATAAACTTTATGCGATAATAAAATGTGTCATCTGACATTTAAAGAGGAACAATATGCTTTTATACATATGTACGAATATGAAGTATCATGAAATAAAAATGAATGTATAATATCTCAGTTTAGTAATAGAAGAAATGTAACAATTGTGAAATTATATTAAGTTGAATTAAATCTTATCGACAGATACCTTTACCGTGGTACAAGCTATCAATGCATTAGGCTTTGGAAAATTCCAAGTAAAATTATCTCTATTCACGGGTCTTTGTTGGATGGTAGATAGTATGGAGATCACAATACTGAGTATTCTAAGTCCATCCTTACATTGTGATTGGGGCATTTCTAGATATCAGCAAGCACTGACCACAACGGTATTTTTTGGATTTGCATAATTATCTTTGTAAAATATATGACAATATTTGAGTTTATTATTGTGGAAATTGAACTTTTAGGTAGTATTTCTTGGTATGATGTTAAGCTCCACTTTTTGGAATAATTTAAGCGACAGATACGGTCGTAAGCAAGCTTTAACTTTGTGTGCGGTATTATTGGCCTATTATGCATTTCTAAGTTCATTCGCACCAAATTTTCTCTGGATCCTGTTGCTTAGAGGAGTTGTAGGATTTGCTATTGGTTGTGTACCACAATCGTAAGTATTTGGTAAGTTTCTTATAGATGAACAACTAATTTGCTTTGAAACTTGTCATTGATGCATACTCTTCTTTTTTTTTTACAGGGTGACATTGTATGCAGAGTTTTTGCCAGCAAAACAACGGGCAAGATGTGTTATTTTACTGGATGTAAGTTTATATTATAAGTATATGGATTAATACACATCATAGTATTAAACACAGTATAAGATATATATGTTACATGTATTGTAGTGTTTTTGGGCTCTTGGAGCTTGTTTCGAAGTGGCGATTGCATTAATCGTTATGCCCAATTTTGGATGGAGATGGCTTCTTATATTATCGTCCATTCCATTATTTATATTTGCTGTAATAACACCGGTTTGTAATAAATTTAGATATTTTTGAAAGTATATCATTTATTTAAAAATACTTTAGAAATTATATTAAGTAATTTCATATATTTGCAGTGGCTGCCAGAATCTACAGTATTTGATATGACAACTGGAAGAACAGATCGTGCAATTTCAACATTAGAACGTGTAGCTAGAGAAAATAAAAAATCATTGCCTGTAGGAAGACTAGTTATGGATAGATTTTATCAAGGTCATCATGGTCGATTTAAAGATGTTCTGAGTAAAGAAATGTACAGAACATCTGCTTTACTTTGGCTTGTATGGTAAATAACAAACTAAATATAAAAATATTAACTTTATCTCAATATTTTTGCAACTTTAGTATAACGTTGGCAAATAAAATATATTCGTAATATTATATTTACGATCTAAATGTGTATTATAACATATTTTACAGGATGAGTACAGCGTTCTGCTACTATGGAGTGGTATTAATGACAACTGAACTTTTTCACACATCCTCAGAGCAATGTAGCACATGGAGTACGAGCAACAATGAAGGTACATGCCAACTTGACTGCCGATTGCGGCGTAGTGACTACATCGATCTACTTTGGACAACATTGGCGGAATTTCCTGGCATATTTTCTACTGTTTTCGCGATTGAGAAAATAGGTAGACGAAAGACAATGGCTTGCCAGTTAGTCATGTTTGCCATGGTAGTTTGCTTCTTAAGCAGGACCTGTTTGTTGAGTAGAGCAGTGTTGACCATTGCCATTTTCCTAGCCAGAGGCTTAATTGCCGGTGTGTTTCAAGCTGCGTACGTATACACGCCAGAAGTATACCCTACACATTTACGAAGCATAGGTGTAAGTGCGTGTAGCGCTATGGCACGAATCGGTGCTATGATCACTCCATACGTAGCGCAAGTATTTTTACAATGGTCCATCACGGGAGCCATGATCACTTATGCGACAACCGCTTTGTGCGCTGCAATTGCTACGCTTGTACTTCCCGTGGAGACCAAGAATCAACAATCAAATGATGCAAGTCATGAAAATAGATAGACATCTTTGTAACGAAGTATCTTAGTATATTGACCGAAAGTTACTACTCTGTCGCATTATTTAGGATACTTTTATTATATATTACGATATATAATAATAGATGTATATACACAGACTGTTCTTGATTGATTGAGAACTTGTCTTGTGTATTTATACATGACCATATATGCGAACACGCAGCTTTAGTCATTATTAATATTTTTAATTTATTATTTAATCAAATGAACATATCTTTATTGTAAGTTATCTATAATACATATATATTTTTAATATTTTATTTATTTACTGTAGTACACATATATACTGTCAACAAGGGAAATTGTCTTGCATAAGGATTTATTATTAAAAAAAAATGTTAATTCTAGATTACACAATATACAAACATAAAGACTGACGTGTGTGCGACTTTCAAGAGAAGTGCCAAAACAAATATTAATCATGAATGCTCTAAATTTCGTCATATCCACAACTTTGAATCTATTTTTTTAAATAATGATTATAGTATCTAATGGAATAAATGAATAAAATTAACTTGTTAGTATGGTTGTCTTGTTAATATTATAAATTGAATTTAAAATCCAATACTGAGAATTATGGTTAATGTTGAAATTATTAACCAAGAGAATGATCTAATATGTGTGTATGATGAGTTAAATTGAAAGAACTTAAATGCACAAACTATTATTTTATATATATT